CATTTGGGCATTAACACGTACAAATGTCAAATGTATAGCACATCATGTACTCCTACGCGATTGTTATCTGCAGCTATTCTTTAGTTTTCTTTTCCTGTTCTATTTTCACTTCACGGGGAATTTATTTTGGCAGTACTAGAATGGACAAAAAGAAGCCAAACAAGGAACACTAATCATATTCGGATAATTTTACAGGTACAGACTGATTTTCTTACAGAATTTTCAGCTGCATATCAGCGTAACCCACCCTCGCCTTGTGCCTTTCAAAAAGTTCTTGAAGTGCTTCGACAAACTGCCCATGAACTTCAGCAACCTAAAATAAAAACCAGAAACAGAAACAGAATAAAATCTTGTCCATCACAATCAACTTTAAGTCACTAGAGCATTTGCAAGTAAAACACATCATAATACAGATACATTCTTCTTTTTTTTAAGTAATTATTACACCATACGGATTTCTAATTCCATAAGAGAAGAATAAAGATGCTGAATACTAAAAATACTTGATCTTTCATAGAACTGCAGAAACAATCAACTGTAACTACTAAAAGCATTGACAATATATCTTCATATTCTTTAAACAGAGAGCTCTGTGATGAAAGGTACTACTCTGCATTCATCCAGATAAAGTTTGCATACAAAGTTCTAGCCAAGGATTACCTCTTCAACAGTAGGTTGTGGGTTTCTCTTTGGCACAATGGGACGACCAACCACCACGTGCATCGGATGCCTAAGCGGTAGAGGAGAACTGTAACAAAAAACATTGAAAAGAAGTTCACGATAGATGAGTTCATCTCCTATAGCTACATTCAATTTTGCCTTTCCATGAATATAGAAATTCAATTACTAGATGGCAAGTGGCAAAATTATTGAGGAAAGATATCATAAATTGCAGTAGTTCACAAAGAAATAAAACAAGATTATTAAAAAAAAATAAAAAATGCATTGCCATTGCATCACATCAACCAAACCTTGACAACTAATACATACCACACCCTTTACCACAAGCAGTAAAGAAAAAATCAGTGTATGATCCTGAAATATTCCCACATTCCTTTTATCCAGATAAACCGAGTAACTGCCATCATGCTAGGCTCAAAAGCACGTAGAGGTTTACACCTCGAGGCACATGAGGCCTTTGTTAAAAGTCTTGAAGCTTATGCTTTGAGCGTCTTTATGAGGTTCATGCCTCAGGGAATCTGCCTGCAGCTGTGGTGTGTGCTAGGGTTGGCAACAGTTCGGTTATGGGTCGGTTCGGCCAAAACCATAACTGCACCACCAATTTTTTGACCGCACCATAATCACGTAAATCGGTTCGATTCGTATCTCGGTTTGGTATGGTTTGGTTCAGTTAATAACCACGAAAATAAATTATTTTTATAGGTTCATCCGTCAAATTGATATAAAACAATTTATGAAAAAGGTCAATGAAAATAAAAACAAAATATTCCAAACGAAAATACAAACATTATCCCAATTTTCAATTGTAAAATACAAATTTAAAAAACAATATTATAAATATAACAATACTAAACTTTTCCTTCATTCTTAAATGTTGGACATCGAAGTTACTTGATTCATTCTTCCCCACAAGTCTTACTAGCATAGATCAACATTCAAAGTTGATTCCTATATAGTAAATAAGAAATACAAGTAGAGAATACAACGATACTACCTATTCCAGAATGGTCTTAACTAAGATTTAAATAAAAAAAAAATATATACCTCTTCGTCAACTTCCTTCTCGCTAAACGTTGCACAAGCTCTAGAATATAATGAAGAAGTAGAATTTTCTACACACAATAGAAAAAATAACAATAACAGGAGCCATGCGTGAATTTGTGGTTTGTGGAGAGTATGGTTTGCATTTATATACTGTCATACTAATCCTATTATTATGAGCTAATGGTAAGTGAGTTGGCCGGCTGAATCAGGTAGATGTAATGGGGGGAAATTTGTTTTGGACTAGATAGAAAAGTAGTGTAAAGCCCAATAATCAATTCAATTTTGTGTGTGCGCGCGTTTTTTTTTTTTTTTTTTTTTTTTTTTTTTT